GCCTTCTCAGAAATCTGGCAAGTGGTAGCATCCTTAGGGATTCCTGGGATTCCCGAAGAGGCCCTCCCAGGAGTCCGAGCAAGTGGTGGGATCTCGTCGCATGTTTAGGATTGCCCAAGAGGCCGTCTTAGGAATCTGGCAATGGGTAGGAAGCCAAGGACTTCTTGTCATCCCATAAGACGCCCTCCCAGGCATCTGAGCAAGTGGCGGGATCCCTGGGGTTCTTAGGAGTGCCTAGGCGGCCCTCCCAAGTCTCTGGTCATCGGTGGGATCCCATGGAACTCCTAGGATTCCCTCAGAGGCCCTCTCAGGAATGTGGCAATTGGTATGATCTCAAGGAACTCCTAGGACTCCTTAGGAGGCCCTCGCAAGAATCTGGGAAGTGGTAGAACCTGTAGGAATTCGGAAAATGTCCGCGGGACTCTTCTCAACAGTCTCGGAATTGGCCGGATCCTTGGGAATTCCTAGGATGCCCCAGGAGGCCCCCCCAGGGAGCCGGGAATTGGTAAGATCCGAAGAGGATCTTAGGATTCCCGAAGAGACCCTCTAGGCATGCTGGCGAACTCCTCAGACGAAGCGCATTGGAAAAATATGCGAATCACGTCAGAATCGTGTACGAATCACATAGGACTCGACCATGGCCACGTTCGGGCTCACGTGCATGTGTTGAGCAGAGATCATGATCGGCCGTCGGTGATCGGACCGATCGCAACCGCTGTTTCAGATTCTCATTGGGCGGCTCAAGGGGGGTCAGCGCACCCAGGACCGCACTTATGATTTTTCCCTTAGTCGGCACCTTCCTGAAGCGACGCCAAATATCGCAACCGCGTCGGAACGATCGCAACTGATTGTGATCAGTCCGAAGTGGTCGACGATCGGTCTCCATCGCGCCTCTTGTAGCCTACTGTAGCCTCCTGTGGCATCCTGATACCTCCTGGCACGTCCCGTGGCCTCCTAGAGCCTCCCCCGGCATCCTGAAGAGGGCCCGCGCCCGCGAGGCTGGCTATCCAAAAGAGCAAACCGCTCGAGACATCCTCAAAATCTGGCCCCAGATGAAGGCGAACATGGGCGCCTCGCACGTGACGCCCGCCAACTCTGCTCCGAAAGCCGAGGGCGACGAGCGCCGGAATAGGCGCCCCGTTCAAGACATCCCCGCAAGTGTGGCGGGAACGGAGGAGGTCAATAACCCCTCGCAGCCCCCCCATCGGGGGTGCTGAAGTCAACGCCGCGCTCGAGACATCCTCCGAATCTGCTCTGCGCCCCCCCCCCGATCTGGGCGCGAACGGTCCCGGGCAACGCTCCCAGGCGCCCCCCCTTCGGAGTGCTGAAACCAGCGCATCGCCCGAGACATCCTCGGAAACTGCCCCGGGAGAGAAGGGGGCTGAGCACCCGAGCAAGCGAGCCGCCTGAGACGCCCCCCCCCCCCCCCCCCCCCCCCCCCCAATCTAGGCGCGAACGGGCCTGCGCAGCGCCCCCCAAATAAGCAAACCGCCTGGGACCCCCCCAAATCTGGGCGCAAACGGGACCGTGCAATACCCCCTTGCGCCCCCCCCCCCCCCCCCCCCCTGGGAGCGCAGGCGCGGCTGAGCCTGAGGAACAGCGAAGCAGAATATGAGTGAGTCTTAGTGTGCGTGAGTCTGTGTGTGAGTGAGTCTGAGTAGGAGTCTGAATGAGTGCGAGGGTGAGTGCGCGTGCGTGTGCGTGTGTGAGTGACCTTAGTAATATTAACCTTGAATATGAGAAGCGACTCGAAGTGCGAGTGAGTCTGTATATGCGCAATCCCGAGCATGACAAACCTGAGTACCAATAATCTCAGAGCGAGCGCATCTGAGAATGAGTGAGTCTGGAGATGAACTAGCATGAGCGTGAGCGAGTCAGAGAAATAATGATGACCTGGGGATGGGAAGCGCGCCCCCCCCCCTTCCTTCCCGTTCCTTCCCGCGTTCCGCGCGGTCTAAGCAATGACGGGACCCCCATCTTAGGACATGGGGAGAAACAGCTTCGCGATGCCCCTGCTGCAGACGGAGTTGGCCCTGTGCGCCCTGCGCAAAGTCCCCGACGATCTGCCCTAGCATGTCGCGATCGGTCGACGGGGAAGAGCTGGCCGCGCCCATCTTCATCTGCACGCGAGACGCCATCTGTCTCCCGATCTCCAAGGGCGTGTCCTCGATGCCAGCTGCGCGCCCTGCCTCCATCAACGTTCAGCGCGTCCGCGCGCGTGGCCGAACGCGCGCGGCCGACGGCGCCGTGCTAAGAGACCAGGGTGCCAGGCCTTGCCGCGCGGGCAGTGGCAGCAGGTCAGGCGCGCGGCCGCGGCGCCTCTCTTGCCGCTGCCTCTGTTCTACTGGGGCATGCGGGGCGCGCGCCGCTGGAACGGGGGGCTGCAAGCATGGCGGATCTGTCCGGGGGGCCCGACGATTCGCCCAGCAAGCCGAGGACATGGAAGATGGGCTCGTCGGCGCCGTTCCCCCGGCTCATCGGGCGGCGCCCCTCCTGCTTC